CGTTGCTTGCCGGTTTTCCTATTAAAAATGCCTACAGAGGTGGCCTTGAAGAGTGCTCAAGCGCTTAAAGCTTGCTCAGCAAGTGCAAGGGTTAAAGTTCAAACACTGATGCCACCTGCAAGCAAAAGGGATCCTGACAATTCCGACATCACTGAGAAAGGACCCTCAAGAAGAAAGAAACCAGGGCAAAGATAAGATCTGAGCTTAACCATGCCCCCGGGATCCTCCGCTGCCCACAAATGTCATGCATGTGCTGAGGCAACCTGGACTGTCCTATGGTCTAAAGCAGCCTTCTCTTCAACCTTTATACACCTGTGGATTGACAGCTGTCCTGCACGCCAGCCCTCAAAAAGGCAGCTGCAACCAACGCAGGAAAGCAGCAGCTATCAAGCAGTCTACACCTGCAAGCAGCACTGGTGAGGGTCAGCATGGTTGAAGACTACGACGCCAGTAAGGGATTTTTTTTCTTTAATGGCTAAAGAAAATGTTTAAACAGAGAAAATATGACAGGTGATAGAAAAAAAAACCTAAAAAATCAAATAGAACAAGTAAAATTGGGGACAAATGAAATCTTTCTCCACATATGCTTCTTAAATCATATCTGAGATTGAAGCAAATTATAATGTCTACATGTTATTACACGTCAACAGAGAAGATACCCAAGATAATTGTAGTTTTTAAGTGTGAAGTCTAAATGTAAGCCATCAACATCAATAACTCACTTAAAAGTGACGAAAGTGAATTACCTATGTGCAGTATGTATACTGTTATATGTAGAGCAATCTGTAAGAAACTATAAAAGAAAATGTAGTCAAAAACAACAAAACAGGATCCAACCCTATGAAATGTTTGTACAACCCTCAGGAAACCAAGAAAAAATATAAGAGATGAAGAAACAGAGGAAACGAATTGAAAATAAACAAAAGGGCAAGCCTAAGTTCCACAGAATAATTACTTCAAATATAAATGCTTTAATTCGGAAATTATAAGAATGAAATCTTGAAGGCAGATTCAAACGTGACACAACTCCACTATATTCTGTCTATAATGAACTCCCTTCAAATATGACAAAAGTTGAAGGACAATAAAAAAAAATAAAGTGGTATTATTATCATTAGACTTAAGAGCAAAGAAAATTCATTATGTTTTCAACTTCAAGGATGGGCTCTTGGAAACTGCAACTTTAAGCAAAACAGCATATAACAAAAGCTGGTACTCTGATACATTCTAAGAATACATCCTTTGAGACCTTATCCTCTCATCTACACTATAATAAAACAGTTTTATTTCAAGGCCTTCCACACGAGGAACAATGGTATAATGATAGGTATAATGATAAAAAGGGGCTGGAGAGCTCCAGGCCGTGCTCAGGAGCACAGGCGCCCAACAGATGGTGCACTGGCAGAGGTGAGGTGTTAAGTGGTACCAGGAATCAAACCCACTTTGAGCCGCATCCCAGGCCTCAGAATACACATTCTATTTTAAGTGCATACCGAACACTGACAAAAATTAATCATGTCTTGGGAAACAACAACACATTCAAAAATGTTTAATCAAAGTATGTACTGACAACATATAAGCGGGGCAACAAAAACTGCCCTGTAATAAAGAAACTTCTAAAATTCTTAAAGAACAATTACTAATTGCTATTAGAAAATATACTAAATGAATAAAAATACAAATAATTAAATCTGTGGGATGAAGATAAAACCACAGAGGGTGATATATAAATTAAGGACAACATCTCAATGATTGGATATTGATCTTATGAAGTTAGATAAAAGAAAACCTCAAAGAAAGCCGTGAAAGAAATACATTACTGATACAGAAAAAAACAAATATCAATAAAAATCAAAGAAATAAATCTCTGAGCAAGACTATGAATGAAGAATGAGCATTAAAACACAATAAAAGACATTCTGAATACATCTGTGACAGTAAATTTGAAAATTGGGATAAAAATGAGATATCCCCCCAGCCGCTACATGTCAATTATTTTCCAATTAATCAGCAGATTAATATAGTCGTAATCGAAATTCCTACATTTAAAGAAAACTTGTATCCTAAAAATGCTCAATCAACTTTTAAGTTTTTGTAACCAGAAACTTAATTTGGTTTTGCCTTGTTTTAACTATTAAAAACTTTGCATTTAGATATCCTTTTGGATGGAGAGAATCATAAACAATGTAGTTAGGGGCTGGAGCTGTGGCTCAGCAAAAATTCTGCATCTACGAGCAAGTTCAGTCCCCAGCCACCGCACCGCAGCCCAAGACCTGCAGCTGTGACCCTGGTAGCCCCAAGTATCACCTAGAGAGCCTCTAACACCAACCACCACCTCGTGTGACCCCCACACAAACAAAATAGAATACTTTGAGGATGGTCTATAAGCTAAAGTCTAGATATCTCTAGCACTGTTTCAAGATTCTGTATTTTAGAAAAACATTATTATAAGAAAAATGGCTAAGGGGCTGGAGCAATAGCACAGCGTGTAGGGCATTTGCCTTGCACGCAGCCGATCTGGGTACAATTCCCAGCATCCCATATGGTCCCCTGAGCACTGCCAGGAGTAACTCCTGAGTGCAGAGTCAAGGGTAACCCCTGTGCATCACTGGATGTGGCCCAAAAAGAAAAAAAAAAGACTAAGTTTAGTATCTTTTTCATATTTGTATTTGATCATTGTATAATTGAAACCCAAGCACAAAAATGTGTAAGTCTACAACTGTACCTCATGGTGTTTCACTAATAAAAATTTTAAAAAAACAAAAAACTTTTAAGCAAATATTTAGTAGTGTTCTATATGTTATTTCTATATGTTATGCATCTAAGACTGGAAGAAAAAAAAACTCTAAGAAAACTAATATAGTTCCATAATTATTATTCTTAATTTAAATCCTGCTTGCAAAATTTCTAAAGCAGATCAAACTGGTGATTTCACTGATGAAAAATACAATGTGACTCAGAACCCACAACTATTGCTATGTAAGCTCATTTATCAGCCCGGCTTTACAGACTCTTAATTTAATCTCAGAAAAGTTCAACTAGCCACAAAAATTCATGGATACATCAATGGGCTGGAGCAATAGCACAGCAGTAGGGTGTCTGCCTTGCGTGCAGCCGGCCCGGCCAAGCCGGGTTCGATTCCTCTGCCCCTCTCGAAGAGCCCAGCAAGCTACCGAGAGTATCTCACCCGCATGGCAAAGCCTGGCAAGCTCCCGTGACGTATTCAATATGCCAAACACAGTAACAAGTCTCACGATGGAGACATTACTGGGCCCGCTCAAGCAAATCAATGAACAACGGGAGGACCGTGGCCGTGACATCGATCTCTCAGTTAAAAACTCTTAGGGTGCCCTCAGGAAGGCTGTCCCTGCCCTGCCAAAGCCCAAGCCACTCTCACAATCCCACACCTGCTGTCATGCCAAAGGACCAGCTCCGCCACCTCATAACTGAGCTCTGTTGAGATACCAAACAGCCAAACACTTCAGGTACACTAGCCTCCGGGCTGAGAACTCTGGGGTCTTCTCAGAGTGGGGTCAAGCAGGCTCCCCACCCCCCACCATGCTTCCAGAAGCCCCAGCAGCCACACCCACATCCCTCAACCAGCATGGCCACGTAAGCTCACCACCCAGTTAAATATTCTGGAGTTTCTAGAGCACACGGCCACACTTGTGGCCGTGCAACACCTCCAAACTCTACGATATTGACTTCCCAGTTGGACCAGACCAAATTAGATGGAAAAGTAACCTAGTAGCCAACTAAACTCAATAAACAGAAACATTAAGCTGAAGGTTCAATGTAACAACAGCTTTGTAAATCCTCAGAAAAGGACTTAATGTCTCCATGGTGAGACATAACAATTTTCACAAATTTTCTTTTACTGAGGTAGAACTGCAGCAATCAACTCCCGTTGTTCATCGATTTGCTCGAGTGGGCCCAGTAACGTCTCCATTGTGAGACTTGTTGTTACTGTATTTGGCATATCAAATACGTCACGGGGAGCTTGCTAGGCTATACTGTGCGGGCGAGATACACTTGGTAACTTGCCAGGCTCTCCAAGAGGGATGGAGGAATCAAACTTGGGTTGGCCCGGTCAGCTGCATGCAAAGCAAACGCCCTACCTGCTGTGCTATTGATAATCACACTAGTCATTTAGTTATAGCAGGCAAAATAAATTATTTTGTGATTGTGAAGGCGACAGGCTTGGGGGATGGCTGGGAAAATGGGGACAATGGCGGAGAAAGGTCACACTGGTGGTGGGATTGGTGTTGGAATACTGAATGCCTGTAACAAATGAATCATGAACAACTTGTATACCATGATGTTAAAATAAAGGGGGAATTTAGGGGCTGGAGCTATAGCACAGCAGGTAGGTTGTTTCCCTTCCAAGTAGTCAACACGGGTTCAATTCCCAGCATCCCATATGGTCCCCTGAGCACTACCAGGAGTAATTGCTGAGTGCAGAGCCAGGAGTAACCCCTGTGCATTGCCAGGTATGACCCAAAAAGCAAATAAATAAATAAATAAATAAATACAGGGGGAATTTAAAAAATAAATAATAAGCTGTACAATGGGGCAAAAAGAAAAATGTATGATTTGTAGGCAACAAGTAATCTGCATCAAATTATAATAGTAACTGTATCTTTGTGACTGAGAGCAACATGGAATCTTAGATTCAGACCAATCAATTAATTAACTAATTTATCAACTGTGTAACCTGAAAAATATTCTCTGTATCTTTGAAGTTTTATCTGCACAATGCCAGCAAATATTCATCCCTCATAGGTTCTTAGCTTAAACCAGATCATGTATCTACAGATCCAAACAAATTCCATGATAAACAGCACTCACCATAAAAAAGAAACCCTCGCTACCGTGGAATATACTACTGACAAGGACTCCAACTCTATATCCAGTTATAAACACTAAATGGCTTTTAAGAAACATATGTTATCTTAGCTGGTACTAATATTTACACAGTTTACAGCTGTGTCATTAATTACCTGCAAGATTGTCAAGCATGAAGTTCAGTAGCTTTCGGGTTCCATCTGGGTCCTGGTATAAATTGAGAATATCCTGTGATAAAGGATTGCCTACAGCACAAGAAAAATGAATAAATAAAATCTATAAGACTTATAATTACAAGTCAAATGTATACTATAAAACATTCATTTTGCTCAGGTGAATTTTAGAGTATCTATGACATAAATTTGAAAATATCAACATACAAGAAATTACTATTGAGACTCAAGAGAAAAACAAACTTAAAAAGACTATTTTTCCCCAGATCTCAGTTTACACTGAACATCTATATATGGATTATTAAAATCCCAATCCCCATCTATACACACATGCAAAAACATATTATTCTTAATCACTTCTAAAGTAATGCCAAAATTTGGTAGCTTTATGTAACCCTAAAGACTACAGGTTCTACATTTTTCTTTGAAGACAGTACTTTAACAAAAAGATTACTCTATATGAGAGCCCTGTATGAGAAAAACAGATGTTTTAAAAAGGATGGGAGTGGAGAGATAGGATAGTGGGTGAGGCAATTGCCTTGCACGTGACTGACCTAGTTCTATACCCAGCAAGCCACATGCTCCCTTAGCACCAACCCCCACGAGTGATTTCTGAGTGCAGAGTCTGAGCACTGCCAGCTGTGGCCCCAAAACAAAACAACAAAGGGATCTTCCAGTTAAAACATTTATTCCCTTACATATGGAGAAACAGAAGACATTTCAAGCATAAAAGAAACCTGTTACCAACATGAAGTAATGAAAATGTTGCAGGAAAATACATTCCCTTTTTACATGCATCAGGAAAATCTCAAGGACTAAAAGCACAGATTTATCAAATAATAAATTCTTGTTTAAAGTCTATATATTCCCTAAGAAAATAAAGAGATATTCACTAAGACAAGTATGCAACAACAGTCTACAACAAAGATTTTCAACTTTTTGGAGAGGGGGGCCAGAAAGGGAGCTCCAATACTGCTGTCTCCCTAACACTGCTCAAATCTGAGTAGTGAAGCTCAGATCCATCAGTGGGGGCCGCCAAAGACGCCCGTGTAGTGCTCAGGAGATCATGACCCTGGGGACTCCATTCAGGGATACACTCATTAAGTTATCCCAACACCCACATCTCTCTGCTTCAATTTTCAACCTTTGTTTAACAGTGACCTGCCAGTGACTTCCACATACCAGTGAATAAAAACTACTGGTCTAAAAACTCAGATTTGAGGAAACAATGACCATGCAAATTAAAGATTCCAAATATTAAAACAAAATACTCAATGTAACAAGCAGATCGTGAATGCCCAAAATGAGATTCACTCACAAATGAATTGTTAGAAAAGAATAGAGGAGCTCATCTACATAGGACTTGCCTAGCATATGTAATTTCCTAGGTTCAACCTCCAGCACAGCTGGTCACCTAATACTACAGGATGTAGTCCTCTGAGCACTATCAGTGGGAACAATGCCCAACCAGATTTCATCCCCGCCCTATTCCCTAGCATTGTCAGGTGAGCTCCCTATTTAAAAAAAATACATATGCAGGGCTGGAGCAATAGTACAGTGGGTAGCACATTTGTCTTGCAAGCGGCCAACCGTGGTTCGATTCCCAGCATCCCACATGGTTCCTCAAGCATCGTCAGGAGTAATTCCTGAGTGCAAAGCCAGGAGTAACCCCTGAGCATCGCTGGGTGTGACCCAAAAAGCCAAAAAAAAAAAAAAACCATATGCATATATGCATATGCATATAATTTCCTAAAGTAATAAATTGAAATGTGTTAAAAATATTAACCAAGGTACTTGTTAGGTGTATATCTTTGTCAAAATTAGTCAACATGCAAACTTAAAATATTTAGGTGTCTTACTTTACCCAACAGCAACTGAAAGTATAGGGTGGGAAAAATAGTCTTACCTGAAAATAAAATTTTCAGGAAAATTTATTCAAAGAGATAACCTAGGGACTGGAGAGATAGCACAGCAGGTAGGGCAATAGCCTTGCATACGGCTGACCCGAGTTCGATTCCCAGCATCCCATATGGTCCCCTGAGCACCGCCAGGAGTAACTCCTGAGTGCAGAGCCAGGAGTAACCCCTGTGCATCGCCAGTTGTGACCCAAAAAGCCAAAAAAAAAAAAAAAAGAAACTAAACTGCACCATTGTGAGTCAATAAAAAAGGTATAAACATGAGATTAAGATAATAAGAACAAGAAATTTTGATATGCACTAAATTGTAATCCTAGAGAGAATAGGACTTCAGTTTCTGATTCAAAATGTAAAAAGCTTTGAAGTTGTCTCTCTTGCCCTCACAACTAACACCCTCAGGCAAATGGCTCTCTTGCACACAGAGAAACCCACAGTCCAGTGGAAAAGAGAAGCATGGCTGCAGACGCCCACAGCAGGAACAAGCATTAGAAGGAAGACCTTAAATGATAATTGATGAAATGCTGGAGATCGAAGCTGTGTCTCTAAGCTAGGGGACACATGACCCTCCGTGGGTGCCCAGCATACTTCAAGGGAGCCATCGAGTCAAACTGCTTCACTAGGGGCCACAGCAAGAAACTGGAGGAGCCACAAGAAGGAAAACAAGGAGGGAACGGGTCACAATCAGTAAAAGGTCAAGAAACTGCTTAGAGATCTATCTCCACGTTGTCTGGAATTAAACCTCCAGGAATCCTATCAGATTCTCACTGAAAAGACTAAGAAAAGTTCCCTTGAGCTTCTGGCAGGCAGGGAGGGAAGGTATGTTCTTAACCTACAATCAAATGGAATTTTACCATAGTCAAAGCGACAAGGGTGAGAGGATTACTCCCCTGGAGCCTGACAGGAACGGTGGAGGAGGGCACACATTTGGAGATCTAGCCAACCTGACTTTAGTTACCTGAAAAACTGAAACCTAATCGTAAGTTACAGAATCGTTCCTCTCCACTCACACTTGTCACCAGTCAACATGTAAGAAAGCTCCAGAATGAAACAGAGGATTACCACTGAAAGAGGTGAAGGCCTCTGAGCTTTATTTAGAGTTTCTGGGAAAACACAAAGACAAAAACAGAGCAGATAAAAACAAGGACACTGGAGAAAATTTTAGACTCTGACACCATAGCTCTAACAAACAGCAGATGACAGCCTAACTCCTAACTGCAGAGAGAGGCTAGAGAACAGAAGAGAGAAAGAAAAAAGGCTAAATGTTTTTAATCTTATTTTTCATGAATATAAGAAAAATAATGTATGCCAAATAGTTTATGACAGGACTTCATTTTGCTAAAATACATTTCTTGTATTGCAGTCTAGAAAATGTTAATTGCAAATTGAAGACTGAAAGTCTGAAGGAGGGCTAAAGATGCAGCCTGAAGTGTTAGAAAAAGAACTTACAAGTATGACGCCCTGGGTTTGATTCCTAGTACCGTATGGCTTCCTAGGCACTGCCAGGCATAGGCCCGGTGAATCCCGAGCATCGTTTCAAGTGACCATCTTGGGGCTGGAGCGATAGCCCAGCGGGTAGGGCATTTTCCTTGCACGTGGCCCACCCGGGCTCGATTCCCAGCATCCCATATGCTACCCTGAGCACTGCCAGGAGTAATTCCTGAGTGCAAATGGCCAGGTATGACCCAAATAGCCAAAAAAAAAATAAAATAAAAAATAAAGTGATCATCTTAGTGGCCCCCAAGCACTCCCTTGAGTGGCCTGGTCCCAAATACTAATGATTGTGCCCTCTCGGAAAATTAACAGAAAAAGATTAATAATGATTAATAACAAATAATAAAATTAGACAGGGAAAAGGTACCAAGGAATAAAGAACCAATTACTTCAAAAAGGCGGGGGGGGGGGGGGGGACACCCAAAACATCAAAAATCAGGCATTCTGATGGCAGCCAGATGACTTAGCCGAAGATCAAAGACTTCCTGCCCATGATAAATGGGACACAGTAATCAGGACAGGACCTAGAGAAAGTGACCAGCAACTCTCCATCATTCACTCAAGGACAAGAGGCTTAAATCAAGATCATGTTCTCCCCAACAAGCCTGAGAATGAGTAGAAACCAGGAACACTGGGCCCAGGATGTAGACTATTTGTTTATTGGCTTGAAAAAGACATTTCCGTGAAGAAGACCTGATCTTTTGGCCCCAAACATCCAAATAATTGAGCCAACACTGCTTCTCCCTCAGGATTCACCATGGGAATTCTAGGTCAGGATACTTTTAAATATGCATTGTTTTTCACTCTTTGGCTTTCTCTGGGGGATAGTGGGGGAGTGGAGAATGAGGAGTTTGGTCACACCTGGCTGTGCTCAGGGACTGAACTTGGGTCAGCCTCACACTTTACCCACTTCACTCTCTCTCTCCAATCTCAAACTTCAGTTGTTTTAAGTTCTCTAGATTCCCAACAACAACTTAGGGGGAGCTTAGTGGGAGGGAAAGGAAGGAGAGGACAGCTAGACGACAGTAGCAGCAGCTAGAATATAGACTATTATCTTCACAGAGAAACAAGATAGATTTGAGGACTTCAACTCTCCTCTACTAGTTGACAAAAAGACAAAATCAGTAAAGATGGACTAGATCAAAGAACACATTCAATCAACTCCACTTACATTTATACAAGACCCTAATGAAAAATAAGAAAATACACAACATTTTCAAGTGTAAATGAACATGGACCATATTCTGAACCAGAAAACAAGCACAGTGGGCAGGGCGTTTGCCTTGCACTCAGCCAACATGGCCAACCTGAATTCTATTCCTCCATCCCTCTCGCGAAAGCCCAGCAAACTACCGAGAGTATCTCACCTGCATGGCAAAGCCTGGCAAGCTACCCAGGACGTATTCGATATGCCAAACACAGTAACAACAAGTCTCAAAATGGAGATGTTACTGGGCCCGCTTGAGAAAATCAATGAACAACGGGAGGACAGTGAACAAAATAAAGCACACTATCAAAACTGACCATACAAAATAAAACTAGAAATCATCAGTGGATAAATACCTAGGAAATCCTCAAGGATTTTAAAATAAACATCCTACTTCTAAGTAATCCATAGAGATCAAGATAATGTATGAAATATTTAAGGGTGTTGGTTAAATTAAC